AACGTGGGCGAGTTACTGTACACGCGGAGACCGCGCACACACACACAGCACGCACACACACAGCACACACACACAGCACGCACACACAGCACACACACACAGTACGCACACACACCGCACACACACACAGCACGCACACACACACAGCCCTCACACACACACAGCACACACAAACAGCACGCACACACACAGCACGCACACAGCATGCACACACACAACACGCACACACAGCACACACACACAGCACGCACACACAGCACGCACACACACAGCACGCACACACACAGCACGCACACACAGCACACAACACAGCACGCACACACACACAGCACACACGCACACACAGCACGCACACACACACACAGCACACACAGCACACACACACAGCACGCACACACACAGCACGCACACACAGCACGCACACACAGCACGCACACACACACACAGCACACACACAGCACACACACAGCACGCACACACAGCACACACACAGCACGCACACACACACCGCACACACAGCCCTCACACACACACAGCACACACACACACAGCACGCACACAGCACGCACACACAGCACACACACACAGCACACACACAGCACGCACACACACACAGCACACACACAGCACGCACACAGCACGCACACACACAGCACACACACAGCACGCACACACAGCACACACACACAGCACGTGTACACACAGCATGCACACACACGGCACGCACACACGGCACGCACACACACACACAGCACGCGCACACACACAACACGCACACACACACAGCCCTCACACACACAGCACACACAAAGCACGCACAAAGCCCTCACACACACACAGCACGCACACACACAGCACGCACACACACACAGCACGCACACACACAGCCCTCACACACACAGCACACACACAGCACGAACACACAGAGCCCTGACACACATATACAGACCGAACACACACACACACAACACGCATACAAACAGCACGCGCACACACACAGACACATTACCTTGCAGTGTTGCAGCATAGCCAATATCCCGGGTGGTGTAAGTTGTTAACTCAACAGAAGATGCAATGACATATTGCAAATAGCCAGGCGTATTTACAGCGTCGCGAGTAATTCATCGTGCTGTATATATTGTATAGCCAACATGCAGGTGATATTCAGAGTATCCAGGTCTCATTACACTTGCCGTGTGCATTATGGCCAAGTTCTTGCTGATGAACTCAAGCTGACGTAGAATATGGAAAGTAGCCAGATCATACACAGCATTGTGAGCAATCACTCGTGCTGAATGCATTGCATAGCCAACATCCAGGTCGCATAAACAGCATATCCTGTGGACTGCAGGTCTTAGAGGTGCTCTCTGAATAGCATAGCCAATGGACAGGGCATACACAGCATGCGGTCTACATCTAGGTCCGAGTCAATGCTGTGTGGACAGCATAGCAAGTAGCCAGATTATATTACATACAGCATAGCCAACAGCCGTCCAAATAACATAGGCGGTAGTAGCAGCCTTGTACTGTGGAGCAGCATAGTCGTGAGGTGTTTAGGTATGCTGTCTGTACGGCACAGCCTAAAAGCAGCAACACTTCATGCCACGGCTAACGCTGTAGCCGCACGCTGCTGGGTTTATGTTTGCACAGTCACATAGTAGTCACTTTAAGATGGTTTTTCTTGTTCGTGTTTTTTGTTGTGGTTGCACCCTATTCAAGAGCCGAATGGCTCACGGGGCTGTACCAAAATAAAGAAACTGAAACTGAAATGATGCCGCCCTTCGATACTGGAGTTGGGAGTCGGTAGAGCAGGCGGGCTGCTGGCTGTCGCTTCTCGCTGTGGTCACACGCAGCTGCTGTTGGGGGAAAACTTGTGACAAGTGGTGGTGGTGACAAGTGGTGGTGGTGGTGACAAGTGGTGCTGGTTGTGGTGGTTGTGGCAACTGGCGGTGGTGATTGTGACAAGTGGAGGTGGTTGTGGCAAGTGGTGGTGGTGGTGATAGTTGTTGCGACAAGTGGTGGTGGTTGTTATTGCGACAAGTGGTGGTGGTTATTGCGGCAAGTGGTGGTGGTTGTGGCAAGTGGTGGTGGTTGTTGTTGCGACAAGTGGTGGTGGTTGTGGCAAGTGGTGGTGGTTGTGACAAGGGCTGGTGGTTGTGGTGGTTGCGGCAACTGGCGGTGGTGATTGCGACAAGTGGTGGTGGTTGTGGCAAGTGGTGGTGGTTGTTGTTGCGACAAGTGGTGGTGGTTGTGGCAAGTGGTGGTGGTTGTTGTTGCGACAAGTGGTGGTGGTGGTTGTTGTTGCGGCAAGTGGTGGTGGTTGTGACAAGTGGTGGTGGTTGTTGTTGCGACAAGTGGTGGTGGTTGTGGCAAGTGGTGGTGGTTGTTGTTGTGGCAAGTGGTGGTGGTTATTACGACAAGTGGTGGTGGTTGTTGTTGCGACAAGTGGTGGTGGTTGTGGCAAGTGGTGGTGGTTGTTGTTGTGGCAAGCGGTGGTGGTTGTGACAAGTGGTGGTGGTTGTTGCGACAAGTGGTGGTGGTTGTGGCAAGTGGTGGTGGTGGTGGTTGTTATTGCGACAAGTGGTGGTGGTTGTGGCAAGTGGTGGTGGTTGTTGCGACAAGTGGTGGTGGTTGTGGCAAGTGGTGGTGGTTGTTGTTGCGACAAGTTCGATTCCCGCTCACGGCCAACACCAGTGACGATGATCTCAACAGGTCCTGGGCCTCCCGTTCGGTAGATTCAGCCTCAAATGAGTACCTGGTTCCGTGTAAAAAAAAAAAATCGCCACTGGGGAGACAAAGGCGGTCGTGCGCGTTGCTGGCCACCTACCCCCTCGTGTGTCGTCCTGGCCTTCATAGGTGCTCGCTAACAGCACTTGTCCCAACAGTTTGTAAAGGCTATACGGGGGATCTTTGTCTTTGGTGGCGGTGTGCAGCTGTTTCCTTACCCCCTCCCCCCATCCACTGATCTTAACCGTGGCCTTGCCACTTAAAATAACCCACGCATGTGTCAACATGGCACAGATCTGCTGTCAATGCACTGCTGGATGAGCCTCCCCCACCTTGTTGTGCGGTTCGTCGGTGACTACGGTACATGACCATACTTCACCACCATAGAGGCTGAAACATAGAAGTACAGAACGATGGATATTATTGCATTGCGTGGTGGTCGCCCATCCAAACACATATGTGCGCTTAACTTTCGACATCTCACACGAGATCGGGCGAATCCCAGGTGATTGCATCCCAGATTTAGAAGTGGAACCATAGAAGTACAGAACAACAATGAATGTTCTTGCAGAGCGTGGTGGTCGCCCATCCAAATACATCTGCGCACTTAACTTTCGACATCTCACACGAGATCGGGCGAATCACAGGTGATTGAATCTCAGATTTAAAACATTCCGTGAAATCACCCTGAACAATGCGACCCAATTTCGCCGTGATTGAGAAGCTAAGCAGTTATTGATCCAGATTTTGGAATTGGGACTAGAACGGGCGACTGCCTAGGAATACAGTACTGTGCTTTGTAAACTTGAGCTGCGAGGTGGCCAGGAAAACGGCAGTGCAGCAATGCATTACTGAATTTATCTGTGCAAAGCTACTAACCCCCCCACCCCCAATTTTCCTCCCCAATGCAAACGCTCGTGAATGCAATTGAGCCCAAACGCAGGGTCCTCTTGAAAAACGCATCGTTGAAACTCGGTACTTGAGGTTTTTTTTCTTGCATACAAGACATTTATATATCCGTCCACGTTCTCCCTGGACCCAAAGCCACATGGCCCCGTGTTTGCTATAATTGTCAATTTCATCTCAGGTGCCACAAGTATCTATTTGTACAAAAACATGACATCTCTTGCGGTCAACTCCGCCGCATCTCAAATCCAAGTCCACGCAGTGCCGGATTATCCTCGTAGCAAAAGTAGCTACACATGTAGCTACGGGCCCCACACTTTCAAGGGTCCCGGGCTAAACGCTTTCAAGCTATCAATTCCGGTTGAATGATTCTGCACTTGCTCTATTACTATAGTACTATACTGCCTTCAATTATCAACGACCGGGTGTTTAAGGTTAGCGATGTCGTATTATCTGGCTGTATAGCAAATGAAAAATACAATAACTTTACTATGCAAGTAAAAAATGTGTTTTTATATTTGTGTTTTTTTTTATTTAGGGCCCATTCATAACATATGCTACAGGCCCCGCACTCGCTTAATCCGGCACTGAGTCCACGCCTAAGGCCCTTCCTCTTCTCCTCTGCCTTTGACTGCATTTTATCTTTTTTTGTTTTATCCATAGTACGTTACTACTACAAATATACTGTACATGCTTCCTCCTATGGGCGCGACACACTGGTATTGTACCGCGTTTCCCAAATGCGTGCTGACCATTGGGGCGCGTTGTTCATGCAAAAGTTGCATTGCCATGACGCCCTCTGTTGGGAAGAGTTTGGGGATTGCAGGCACAGGATAAGTGGACCACCGAAATCTAATTGGTATTCCTCGAGCGCCCTTCACTCAAGGCGCTTGACCAGAGAAAGATGCAGGTGGCAGGGGGCGTACAAGGATTGACGACCGAGTGACAGCGATGGAGGGGCACTAATGATCACGAAAGGGTAGGGGGATGGATGGGAAGGAGCGGAGGGGCACAAGCTTGATTAAAGGGGTAAGCAGAGGGCATACAAAAACTCAGGGGGGCCGTGACACGGTCAACATTACACTCTAAACACATTTTAAACGCGAATACAGAATGAGTAACGATACGACTGGCTATCGTGCATTCTGCTCTCTCTCTCCCCGTGTACGATGTCACGATACTCGGAGCACGCTGCGACGTCGGTGTGCATCGAGCGAGGCATGATGTGACATCGCGCGGAGTACACCGTGCCAAGTGCAAATAATTTTTTTTTTATTTAACGGATCATACCGTTGTTTATTTTGCCAGTTTTGAATGCCTTTCCACGCAGCAGCATGCAATGAAATCACCGCATCAAGACGACAAAGTGAATGAGCACGTATTTATTCTTGCAAAAAAATATCTGCGGACAAAATATGCGCAAATTGCAGACAGAGGCAATTTGCACGCACAACCCTTATGCATCGCGACGCACAAACTGGACGATGCGCAGTGCGTCAAGACACGCTTTGCACATTTCCACGCGCTTCAAGTGGCAGGCTTATGTGCAGTGGCATGGCGATCTGATCGCGAAAAGCGATTTGGATTTATGTAACGATGACTAAATGCGATCGCATATCAAAGATGCCGAACATAAACACTGGGCATATTTATTTCTCCAAATTAATACAGTCTCTTGCGCGCCTTCCCACACTCATATTTGTGAAGAAATTTTAGTTTACAAAACCCAGCAAGATTGCACATGTACGTAACTACTTTTATCAAACGTCACTTGCTGTAGTGTATCCAAGATTCTGGTTGCGGTTCAATTTCTCACCAAATAATGACATTTTCCAAGTCGCCGGTAAATTGTAGTCAGCACGTGACTAACAGCCACAGCCATAGAAAAAGATATGTTGGACGTGGTGTGCCGGTTGCGGAAAATTGACCCGTGGTTATGGTTAAGAAAAATGTTTCAAAATCCCAGAGCAAGTGACCTCAAAAGGTATTTGTTTAACGATCGACCTCTGTGGTTTATTGAGCCGCAGCAAGCCACCGTGTGCCCCGTCGTCATAGCTTCATGGTGCCGCTAAATCTTGAATCCGGAATGCACCGCGACGATGCCATTGGTAAGGTTGCGGTAAGTCACGTGCCGGAAACCGGCATCCTCAATCATCGCCTTGAACACTTCCTGCAAACAAGCGCGGTTAAACAAGGGTGGTTAAACAAGAGTGGCTAAACAAGCGCGGTTAAACAAGCGCGGTTAAACAAAAGAGCGCAGTTAAACAAGGGTGGTTAAACAAGCACAGTTAAACAAGCGGGGTTAAACAAGTGCGGTTAAACAAGGGTGGTTAAACAAGCGCGGTGAAACAAGCGTGTGACGAATCTCGCACAAAACTTTCTCACTACACAGTCCAACCTCACTGTGAGCCGCGTTCATCTCTAAATACGCTGGTTTTATTGTCCCAATCGGTGGGGTAATAACCACTTCTATAGCTCCGTAACAAGGCAATGTGTAACAAGGTTTGTCTATGAGATTCTGAAATTATTAATTATTTAATTACCGGATTCGATGCTTGCTCGCGGAGCAAGCATCGAATCACGTGTGTAAGAACCGATATTTTTTTAAATTCAAATGTTATAGCTACTTATGACACCCTGAAGCCACTAGTGGACGCTATCGGGCTGAGTCCAATGACTCGCTACACTTGAGAATCCAGTTAAACCAGAGGTGACTTTGGCGGATTCGAATTCTAGATCACATTGGTGTCACTCTGTGTCATGCCAATTAATCGAATCACCGGGAGGAAGAACGGTTCCCCATCTTTGTCCGATCTACACGGGCAATGATCATTCGTCTCGTCTCACGTACCTGATCGGGAAACTGACGGATGCTCTCAACCAAGTACTGATAGGACTTCCAGTCCTTGGCTATCACTTCCCCAAGCACCGGGATGACTTGAAACGAGTACATGTCATACAATCTGAAGGGAGACACAAAACAGCCACAGGGAAGACAAGTCAACGGTCCAGTTGTTAAACAGTTAAACAGTTAAACACGCGCGCTGTTGTTTACCACTGCGCAGGTTTTGACGGTTGTGCCGTGCCGTTGTCTGCTGCGTTTTCGCGGTTGTAGCAGAAAACACATTCCCAAGTTGGACCGCATGATGTCCGACGTTTCGCTCCAACGTGCTAGGAACTTTCCAGGATGCGGAGTTCAGTTGTTGAAGAGGCTTCCAGCACGTGGAGCGAATCGTCAGACACGTCATGCCAATCAAAACCCACAAACACGTCCGGTGGCTTCGAGCGATCTCATACGGAATCTAGCCTGAGTTGTAACAACAAAAACAGCTGGGGGTGAAACTAGAAGTGGTTGAACGTGGCATTCTGGTAAGACGATTAGCAATGAACGTGGAATGTGTGTGTGCATCTCCATTTAGATTTAAAATATCACTTTAGCACGGAACTCACGCCACTTCTAAAATTACCGACGCGGCTCTCGAAATGTTATTGTTCGCAGTGACATTAGTCAACGTACAGAATGCGTCAGTGGACCGTAAACAGCATGGCATGACTGCCAGAGCGTTACCGCTGCAAGATGGGGTTTGTGACCTTGCTGAACTCCAGGCAAAGGAATCTTCCGCCAGGCCGCAGGACCCGGTAAGCTTCTTCTAATGCCTGCAGTGGCAGAGAATCAAAAAATAAATTGCATGTGATACAATCACAAGCCAAACAAACGTTATCATTATGCTGTCTTCATCACCATCATCGTCGTTCGTGATCTATCCCCCGCTTGACGCCTCCGCAAGCCGTCGCCACCCCTCGTGTGCTGCGCATATGTCAGTCCACTGCTGGATGAGAGCCTCCCTATGCCGACAGTGATGATGATCCTATAAAGCAATATAAAAACTATAAAGTTCATCACTTACAACGGAGATGTGCGTAACGTTCCTGATCCCGAAGGCGATGGAGTAGATGTCAAACCGACTGTCGGCAAAGGGAAGCTCCTCCGCGTTGCCGACCACCCACATGAGCCCTGATGGGGGGGGGGGGGAAGGGGGTGTGGGGGGAACAAAACCATACAGGCACTTTCAGTCATTCACCCAAGCAGCCTTTTTCAGGTACGGCCCATTGAGCTGAGAAGCTCTTTTTAAATGGCGACCCGAATATTCCACATTGACCCGAGTTTGATTCTTAAAACGTAAAGGATGGACCGACCTACGCAACAAATAGCTGCTGCCTCGTAGCGCTGCACCCATGTTTGCGAATCCCGGGGCTTGGACAGGCGCAAGGAGTCGACAGCACACACGGCTTTGGGAAGGGAGTTCCAGACTATGGGGCATTGGCGAGGGAGCGACCTCCCACCGTTGGAGCGGTTGACACTCATAATCATGAAAAATATATAGCAGCACCGTGCGTCTGCTTAAGTTCAGTGAATCGGCATACACTCATAGGCTCGTGTTTGCAAACATGATGCCAGTTAAAAGGGTAAAACCTATTCCTATATCTTGTTTCTGGCAAAGGAGGTCTCATAATGTAAATGCTCACCCCGAGCCCTCAATACTCTGATAGTGCGCTGTTTTTGAGTTGTACGCCTTTTGGCGTCTTCTGGTCCAACACCATTGGAGACTAGGCTCTAAGAAAAGCTGTCTCGGGTGTGGACCAATCAAATTCAAGGACAGTGCATATTATTATTAGAGTTGTCTTTTTTGTTTGCATTTTGACTGCTTGTGTTGTGGTTATTGCAAACATGATGCCTTGAATAAAGGTGTCAGTTTTTGTGCCAGTTGAAAGGGTAAAACCTATTCCTATATCTTGTTTCTGGCAAAGGAGGTCTCATAATGTAAATGCTCACCCCGAGCCCTCAATACTCTGATAGTGCGCTGTTTTTGAGTTGTACGCCTTTTGGCGTCTTCTGGTCCAACACCAATGGAGACTAGGCTCTAAGAAAAGCTGTCTCGGGTGTGGACCAATCAAATTCAAGGACAGTGCATATTATTATCAGAGTTGTCTTTTTTGTTTGCATTTTGACTGCTTGTGTTATGGTTATTGCAAACATGATGCCTTGAATAAAGGTGTCAGTTTTTGTGCCAGTTAAAAGGGTAAAACCTATTCCTATATCTTGTTTCTGGCAAAGAAGGTCTCATAAGGTTTTACCCTTTTAACTGGCACAAAAAACTGACAACTTTATTCAAGGCATCATGTCTGCAATAACCACAACACAAGCAGTCAAAATGCAAACAAAAAGACAACTCTGATAATAATATGCACTGTCCTTGAATTTGATTGGTCCATACCCGAGACGGCTTTTCTTAGAGCCTAGTCTCCACTGGTGTTGGACCAGAAGACGCCAAAAGGCGTACAACTCAAAAACAGCACACTATCAGAGTATTGAGGGCTCGGAGTGAGCATTTACATTATGAGACCTCCTTTGCCAGTAACAAGATATAGCAATAGGTTTTACCCTAGGTTTTAACATGTGACTGTGTTGTGCTCACCCCCCACCCCCTGACTACAACAAGGTCACACCACAGGCTTCACGTGTTCTGACCCTCGGAGAAGCCCTGCTGCTCGGCCCTCTTCTGCCCGACGCGCAGCATCTCCTTGTTGATGTCGCACACGACGGCGACGGCACCCCGCGCGTCCCAGTCTCTGGGCCGCTCCGCGCGATAGAAGCCCGCGATCTCCTCCCACGTCAGGTTCTGCGACGACGCGTTAGCTCGCCTCTGGGACGCACGCTGCAGGCATTCCAGAAACCTGAAGGATATGTCGCCTGCGAATTTAAAGAGGCGTGTCACGTGAGTGAGGGTCGAGCGGTGGAAAACGACCCCTCAATGGTCCTGCGAATATGAACCTGGCCACCCGAGGTCGGTTCCCAGCGACGGCGAAAAATCAATGCAGTGCGATATCGGAGCTGGTCTTGGTCGCACAACCCCCCGGGGCTTCGCAAACTTACACTGACCAGCGTGGTGAAGTATGGCCAAATAACCCTCGTGCCTGGATTGACAAAGGGCTGTAAAAGGGCTGTAAATTAATTATGTTGGTAAATATAACTGGGCTGAGACAGGATGCCCATGCATTATTTTCCAATATTTCGTCTGTTTACCCAGGAAGGCGTCTTCCCCTAAGTCTCAAGGCTCTTTTTCAGGAGGATCCTGCCAAGTTTTCACAGCTGAGGGAGATGTTGCTGTAATCTCAATTTGCTAGTTTTGGAGGTAGTTGTGCATTAGAATGTTTGGCCAATATCAGTAACAATGTATGTATTCTGGCTATGGAAGCAAAGCAAAGAATCTGGAAGAAACCCATGCAGAACAGCAGAAGAACATAGAAACTCCACCAAGAAAGAGGGCCCGAGCCAGGAGTCAGACCCAGCCAGAGCGGTTTTCTGCGAGGCACAACGGTAGCCACTGCGCCACCGTCGGCACTGCCCAGTGACCCCTTACCGGTGCCTCCTGCCACGTCCAGCAGCCGCGTGCCCGGGGTCGGTTTCATGATGTCGAGAAGAGAATCCTTCCAGAGGCGGTGGATCCCCAGGCTCATTGCGTCGTTCATGATGTCGTAATTCTTGGCGACGTTCTTGAAAACTCCATAAACTGGAGGCGATCACAAGCACAGACACACGAAAATCTTACATGCACGGCATAATGTTACAGTGAAGTTTCATCCGATTTGATGTGGTGGGCCCTACGAGCTGATTATATTACCCATGTTTATTATTCACGCAAGACTCCTGTAAATGGAAAGATAATTTTGGATAAGATTACATTTTCTCATCCATACAAAGCCTCAAATAGCATACACATTTGTCAAATCTAGGGCATCGTTAATACGAGTATCAGTTAAGAGGTATGTGGGTAAGCGTTGCACTATTTTCGTGCGTTCTGATTATGACAGAAAGATAAACTAATCAGAGAACAAAACGCAAATTAGAGACATCATATTGACTATCAAGAAATATGTACTTGAGCAGGATACGAGAGAGCTAGAAGGTAGGATGGTCCAGTGGTCGAGAGTAACAGAGTGGCAGCCAAAGGAGGGAACAGGCCCAAGAGGGCATCTACTGCAGAGATGCATAAATGGTGGCAGATCGTGTGCCGAAGCCGTACGGATTGTTGCGTACGCGTAGCAAGACTGAGTATTGGCGATGCTTTTGAGAGGCTTTTATCCAGCTGTGGATAGACAATGGCCGATGATAGTAACCATTGGGTAGCTTGCATTTTCAATACACGGAGGGCTGCTGGGAAAATTAACACTGGTGACAAGTTGGATGGAGCACTTGAGGTGTTTATTTAACAGGAGAGACGTTTTGACTAGAGCAAGGAGATCATAATCATCGGTATGAAATTCCTCCCCCCACCGTTGCGATAAGATTATATAGACAGACCACACACCCCAATTGGGGAGGGGGGTAGAAGGATGAACAGGTATGTACGAAGCTCAATGTTTAACCAGACTCGAGCAGCACTTAAGAAATGTATAAGCACTTCCCTTCACAATCATTAAAGCCATTTGCATTGCAAAAGTAGAAAATTCACGTTTTGAAACCACAAGACTGTAGCCCATGTCACCGATGACAAATATAGAACGTATATTTCTAAGCAGTGACTGCTATGTAATTTTTGATCAGCAGCCAATGTGAGGGTGGAGCGATGGCACAGTGGCTAGCTTAGAGTTGCGATGCTCTAAGATATGAGTTAAGATTTCCAGCGACGGTTAAAACTTTTGCCTCGAGGCTGATTGCCACTTCTACTTACCAATTCTTTTAATTCAAGGCAGTAAATAAAATGTGATCTCCAACTATAACATAGCCAATTGCTCTGCCATTCCTTTAGTCTGAAGAACGGTTATTGCCTTAAGTTAGTCTACATATAATTTGTCCACAATAAGGTGTTTTAGTGATGCCAGTAATGATGTTTTTTTTTATTCACGATTGTACAACCCTATGAACAGAGATTCCTTGATCATTTTGTAGGGCAAGCTATCTGTGTGTTCTAGTGCAGAAAATTTGAGAATCTGAAAAGTGTGCAAAGAAGCATAATGACGCATGTCTGGAATTACACCGAGACAAACATACTAGAGAACATGTACAGTGAGGGAAACAAGTATTTGATCCCCTGCTGATTTTGTACGTTTGCCCACTGACAAATAATTGATTAGTCTACAATTTTAATGGTAGGTTTATTTGAACAGTGAGAGACAGAATAACAACAACAAAATCCGGAAAAACGCATGTCAAAAATGTTATAAATTGATTTGCATTTTAATGAGGGAAATAAGTATTTGACCCCTTTGCAAAACATGACTTAGTACTTGGTGGCAAAACCCTTGTTGGCAATCACAGAGGTCAGAGGTTTCTTGTAGTTGGCCACCAGGTTTGCACACATCTCAGGAGGGATTTTGGCCCACTCCTCTTTACAGATCTTCTCCAAGTCATTAAGGTTTCGAGGCTGACGTTTGGCAACTCGAACCTTCAGCTCCCTCCACAGATTTTCTATGGGATTAAGGTCTGGAGACTAGCTAGGCCACTCCAGGACTTTAATGTGCTTCTTCTTGAGCAACTCCTTTGTTGCCTTGGCCGTGTGTTTTGGGTCATTGTCATGCTGGAATACCCATCCACGACCCATTTTCAATGCCCTGGCTGAGGGAAGGAGGTTCTCACCCAAGATTTGACGGTACATGCCCCGTCCATCGTCCCTTTGATGTGGTGAAGCTGTCCTGTCCCCTTAGCAGAAAAACACCCCCAAAGCATAATGTTTCCACCTCCATGTTAGACGGTGGGGATGGTGTTCTTGGAGTCATAGGCAGCATTCCTCCTCCTCCAAACACGGCGAGTTGAGTTGATGTCAAAGAGCTCCATTTTGGTCTCATCTGACCACAACACTTTCACCCAGTTGTCCTCTGAATCATTCAGATGTTAATTGGCAAACTTCAGACGGGCATGTATATGTGCTTTCTTGAGCAGGGGGACCTTGTGGGCACTGCAGGATTTCAGTCCTTCACGGCGTAGTGTTACCAATTGTTTTCTTGGTGACTATGCTCCCAGCTGCCTTGAGATCATTGACAAGATCATCCCGTGTAGTTCTGGGCTGATTCCTCACCGTTCTCATGATCATTGCAACTCCACGAGGTGAGATCTTGCATGGAGCCCCAGGCCGAGGGAGATTGACAGTTCTTTTGTTTCTTCCATTTGCGAATAATCGCACCAACTGTTGTCACCTTCTCACCAAGCTGCTTGGCAATGGTCTTGTAGCCCATTCGAGCCTTGTGTAGGTCTACAATCTTGTCCCTGACATCCTTGGAGAGCTCTTTGGTCTTGGCCATGGTGGAGAGTTGGGAATCTGATTGATTAATTGCTTCTGTGGACAGGTGTCTTTTATACAGGTAACAAGCTGCGATTAGGAGCACTCCCTTTAAGAGTGTGCTCTTAATCTCAGCTCGTTACCTGTATAAAAGACACCTGGGAGCCAGAAATCTTTCTGATTGAGAGGGGGTCAAATACTTATTTCCCTCATTAAAATGCAAATCAATTTATAACATTTTCGACATGCGTTTTTTCTGCATTTTTGGTTGTTATTCTGTCTCTCACTGTTCAAATAAACCTACCATTAAAATTACAGATTGATCATTTCTTTGTCAGTGGGCAAACGTACAAAATCAGCAGGAGATCAAATACTTTTTTCCCTCACTGTATGCTATTATTTGGGTCTTTCGGTAAAGTCACGTAGATAGGTTAAAAGAGAATAACAAAAACTACGCCGTTTCGACCGCAACACAAGCGGTCGTCATCAGGAAAAGGGGGTTGGCTTCTGAAGGCAAACTGTTTATAAAGGTTTAAAAATTGGCGTAGCTAATGTTAATATAAGCAATTAAAAACGGTGTGCCCCAGCATGTAGGGGGGTGCTAGAAGGTGATGTAGGGCGGTGTAAGAGGTGATGGTAGTAGTGGGCAATGATGGTGCTGGTGGTGGGTTTCCACCAAAGGTATGTTAGTTAGAGACATATTGACTGCTAAGTGGCTTGGCCAGGAGATGTCATGAGAAGGGATGATGGCCAGATGCCCTAAACAACGATGGATTGGCGGCCAAATGAGAGAACACAGCCAAGAGAATGTCCATCTTGGAGATGGAGCGATGAAGTAAGCTCATGTGCGAGTAACCAGATGCATCCAAAGACGGTGAGAGATGAAGGCTTGGGGGAGGAATTCACAATCCCTGTCAGCTGTTCTAAAGTGGGACATTAGGTCAGGGTGTTTATATATTTATTTATAAAGCACAAAGTACCGCGTGCCAAGTTTTAAGCACGCTTTCCCAAGCACTCACCAATAAAACAAGTATGGTTCTTCATGAGGGTTGGGATGTAACTTCCAATAGTGCTGAAATTTTGGCCAGGATAAAATACATTTTATCATCACCATCACCACCGTGCAACCATTTCTCCGAGGTCGGCAAAATAAGGTCGTGCCATGGCGATGTTAATTGTTTTTAATTAGTCATAAGACCTTTCCTGGCAAACCTCCCGAAAGTTTGATGCGTACCGGGAGCAGTGGCAACGATTGGTGTATCAAGGTTTGCGAGACTACCAAATCCGCTGGGCCGTCAATTGTGCTAGATGGCAGAACCGATACCTAGGACTGTCCTCTGATGCACGGTGGGTTTTCTCCGTTTACTCCAGATCCCTACCACACGAATTAAAACGTTCCTTAAAAAGGCATTTTCCAACCATCCTAATGCAGGACCATCTTGAAAAAATATATAATTCGGACTCGGCACGGCTTTCCTAGGTAAACGACACGTCCCAACGGGAGTGGTTACTGTCCCCGACGGTGCCTGGAAAGAATATCTCTGGCACGAGACCACATTTTCATTCGCACACCTTCCTCAGTGAACACTCCTCTCATTACAGCCTAGCTTTCAGTTGATGAAATAAGACGGGAGGACTCTGCTTCTTTGGTTTTCGTGTTGAAAGTTTACGATCAGGGGTTAGAGTTCAGGGATAGGTATCTCAGAGTTTAGGGGTTACGGTTAGAGGGAGTGCTAGGGTTTAGGGGTTATAGGGTCAGTAGTGCTTGGCAACGCTTCAACTGTTGTCCTGCATCTGTGTGGACAGTGTAGTAGTAGTCCAGGTACTGCCAAGGTCAAACACGTAGGTCCACCGATGGATGCGCTCCGTCCTGCTCACCCCTGTCGCTCTTCTCAGCCTCAGTGACGGTCTCAAAGCCAAAGTGAGTCGTCTTGCTGCTCTCATTGCTGCTGCTGCTCTCACTGCTGATGCCGATGCTGCCGACGATTCCGGGACCCGCGTGCCGTCGCAAGAATAGCGGTGCAGACCGGGCGACCAAGCCTCTTACGCTGTTCATGATGGCCCACAAAAAAACACACACAATGTAGCGCACCGCGTTACTAATTACACCAGCACTTGTTTAACGTGTACGACTAGAGAGTACTGCGGTCTTAATTCATTACATTGACCATTAAACTAAGGTCATGCGGCAAGTCTCGGTAATCCATGCAATCCCGGAAGCGCGCGGCGAGCACGTGGCCAGCTGGGAGCGGGCGATACCAACTTTGCGCTGGGAGATGGGGGGTATTGAGACCTTGCTTTTGCCGCTGCTGATGGGAGAGACCAAACTGTTCCTCTTTAACCCCCGCGGTGCGCACTTGGTAGACGCCAGTGTATGTGTGTGTGTTCAATCATCCGGACGTTGCTTTCTGTCGTCACGATCTATCCACTGCTAGCAGTGTCTAATCATGATGCAGCTATCCACCATACTTCACCACGCTGGTCAATGCGGGGTGGTGGATGAGGGGAGGGGGGGGGGGCAGGAACGGTCCCCATATCAATTGTGACTTTACACAAAAAGGAAGCAAATGTTGACAATTTCGGCAGCAACACTCTTGTGCAACATTTCACATCAGTTCACATACCATGCGCGTTGCTCTGTGCAACGTTCCCGGAGCTTATTTAGTTATTTTATGTTCCAGAGTAAACATTATTTAGTGATGCTGCTGCATTGGCAGTGGCGCCCAAGCACAACCACCAACAAACTAAAAATTCGTTACAAAATCATGGTGCTCTGAAGACGGACAATTGCCCAGAACGTCGCTTTTTTGTGTGCCACGGTGTTGTTATGAACAAATGTGTCCAGTTTGTCGCATTCTATTGTGGAGCGGTGAGACAGTGGTTATCGCACTGCGCTATGAACCTGCGACCCAAGTTCGATTCCAACCCATCTCTCTGTCCTTTGTGTTTATGATTAAGGGCTATTGTCCGAATCGTCGCCGTTGCCATTTGAAGACCCCACACACAGTGTTATTGACGAACGTGTTAAGCTGTTTTTGTCACCAGTGACAAGTGACGGTCCTGCCCCCTACCCTGCCCACTCCCTCCCCCCTCCGTCACGAACCCGCATGACCATCCATGGTGAAGTATGGTCAAAATCTATGCCGACCGTGAAGTGCCGGGGAGGCTTTCATCCATTGGTGAATTGAGAACGGTCGGAATTGATTTTTTTATTTTTTTATTTACCGAGGGTATTGGCGTGAGAGGGATTTTTTTTCTGCTTCCGGAGGCTGCGCGCCTTTGTGTGAAACAGCGGCGGCTGATGCGTGGGTCCGCCTGCCCCCCACCCCCATCCACGCTCTGCTGTGCATCACCGCTGCAAACCCCCCTCGCTCCTCTTCCACTGCTGCTGCTTCTGTTCTGACCCATGGCATCGCTGTGGTGCAGAGGTTTTCACTGAACCGTCTGTCTCCTCTGGTCTCTCCCCGTGGCTCTCTCCGTCTCTTTCTCTCTCTGCGTCTCCTCCTCTCTCGCTGCCTCTCTCTCTGGTTCTCATCCTCCCCTGTGTGTGTGTCTCCATCTCCTCCTCTCTCGCTGCCTCTCTCTCTCTCTGGTTCTCATCCTCCCCTGTGTGTGTGTCTCTCCATCTCCTCCTCTCTCGCTGCCTCTCTCTCTCTCTGGTTCCCATCCTCCCCTGTGTGTGTCTCTCCATCTCCTCCTCTCTCGCTGCCTCTACATCTCTGGTTCTCATCCTCCCCTGTGTGTGTGTCTCTCCATCTCCTCCTCTCTCGCTGCCTCTCTCTCTCTCTGGTTCTCATCATCCCCTGTGTGTCTGTCTCTCCATCTCCTCCTCTCTCGCTGCCTCTACATCTCTGGTTCTCATCCTCCCCTGTGTGTCTCTCTCGTGTGTGTGTGCCCGCATCTCCCTCCGATCCCCTCCTCCTCGCTGCCTCTCCTTCTGTCTCCTCCTATCGCGTCTCCACGCTGCTAGGGGGGGGGGGGTTGCTTGGAAGCCCCCCACCACCCCACCCGCTCCTCCTCCTCCCCCTTCCCCGGAGTCGTCTGCAGAAGCCGCCAGCAGCAGCAGCGGCACCACCCCCAACCAGCCCCAAGGATCCCGGCAGTCGCATCGGTCACCGCCTTGCCCTGCTCCCCCTGCCCCCGGCTTCGCACGCATGCCTCCTGGGGAGTGGGAAGACGATGGACGTGAGTTGCTTGGGTTGCGTGCGATTTGCGTGCGACCCTGTCGTTGCAACGGTTTGTCGCCCGTGCGTCCGTGTCTGTGTGTGTCCGTGTGTGTGTCTTTGTGTGTGTGTCTATGTATCTGTGTGTCTGTGTGTGTGTCCGTGTGTGTGTGTCCGTGTGTGTGTCCGTGTGTTTGTGTGTGTGTCTTTGTGTGTGTCTATGTGTGTGTGTGTCTGTGTGTCCGTGTGTCTGTGTGTGTGTGTCTTTGTGTGTGTTTATGTGTGTCCGTGTCTGTGTGTGTGTGTGTCCGTGTCTATGTATGTGTGTCCGTGTGTGTGTATCCGTGTCTGTGTGTGTGTCCGTCTGTGTGTGTGTCCGTGTCTGTGTGTGTGTCCGTGTGTCTGTGTCCGTGTGTGTGTTTCGCGCTAAGCTGCAGGCACGGAGTTGAGATTCCCGCTCACGGGCCCACATCGGTGACGGAATATCTCGAACAGGTCCCGTGGCGCACGTAGGTCAACTCGACCTTAAATGAGACACGTTGCGCGTTGTGTGAACAATCAGCACCGGGGAGACAAAGGCGGCCCGGGCGCGGTGCTGGCCACCCACCGCCTTCGTGAGCCGTGCCGGCGGCCTTCATAGGCGCTCGTCGCTAACAGCACTTGCCCAACCAGTCTGCTAAGGCTATAATAGGGGGGGGATATTTGTCTTTGTGTGAGTGAGAGATGTAGTAGCTATGTATCTATTATCCTGTGTGATTTGTACGATCTTCTGTTGTCACACAATAGGATCAAATGTGTGTGTGTGTGCGCGATTCATTGTGAGCGTTCGTGTGTGTGAGAGCCGCGTCACATTGAGAATGTGTCATTGTGTGCGCGTCATTCACAATGTTCGTCTCATTGTTTCCGAGCCCGTGTTTGCTACTGTCTCAATGTGTGTCTGTGTGTAGCTGTCTGTGTGTTGCGTAACGCTGTGTGGAAGCTACCTGGTCTGTCGCTCCACAGTAAGCTTCAGGTCTTCTCGGCCACGGTCATTCCCTCCCTTCTCTACGCTTGCGAAACGTGGACCCCCCCCCCCCCCCTAATGGAACATCTTCGCCGGTTAGAAACATTTAGGCTAGCCTGCCTACGATCCATCCTGGGTTTAACCAGACTGGATTGTGTGAGGAGCTCACAAATCATTGAAAGATCTGGGCACGGTCCCATCGGTGAGCTCCTCCGGCAGGCAAGGCTGCGATGGCTGGGTCATGTAGCCCGCATGCCCAGCCACCGCATGCCGAACAGCTTTTGTTCGGCCGGATCGAGGGGGCTAAACGGGCGCGGCACGGGCTAGAGAAGAGATGGAGTGATGTGGTACAGGAGGACGTGGAGCTGAGTGGACTTGCCGATGACTGGTACCAGCGGTGTCAAGATCGGCCTCTGTGGAGGAGGCTCGTGAAGGATGCTACTGGGCAGTTGGAGGCAGTCGCCCTCCAACAACAACGGAGGGCGGAGGAGCGACGCTCACAACAACGAGCGGAGCGCCGGGTGGCTAAAGCACAGCAGGTTGGCACAGTAGGGGGCACAGGTGGTGCATCAGCCAGTCATCTCAGTCATCTTAGTCGACCCGTGGCACTTGGGTCTGCCCCGTGACCTCCTGCCCGCGGGCGTTCGACACTTCACGTGGCCTCAAGGTGCACATGGTCTGGCACAAGTGTCGTGGTGACGTCACCGCCACTTAGTGGCGAATGGCGGGTGTTGTCTGTGTGTGTCCCCTGTCTCAGTCACAGTGTTCATGCGTTCCTCGATGCCTGTGTCCCAGTGTCTATGTGGTTGTCTCGTGTATCTATGCATTGGGTGTCTTTGTTTCGGTACTGTGTGTGCGTGTTCCTGGTGCGTCCCAGTATGCGCGTGCCTTTGTGTGCGTGTCTGTTTGGGGAGCGGTGGGACAGCGGTTAGCGCGCTGCGCTAGGAACCCGACCACCAGGGTTCGATTCCCAATTATCTGAATCGGTTCTGGGCCTCCCCTAGGTTGACCCTAGTTCAAATGAGTACCTGGTGCGGTGCGTCATCATCGCCACTGGGGAGACAAAGGCGGTCGGGCGTGGTGTTGACCACCCACCCCCTCGTGTGCCGTGCCGGCCTTCATTAGGTGCTCGCTAACAGCACTTGCCCCTACAGTCTGTTAAAGGCTACACGGGGATTTTGGCTTTGGTATCTATACAGTATATAGATATCAAAGACAGTATCTGTGTCTCTTAGTGGCCATATCTTTCTGTTCCTGCATCTCTCTGTGTCTGTATATCTATGTCTGTGTTTCTCTATGTCTGCGTCTGTATATCTGTATCTGTGTCTCTATGTCTGTATATCTGTGTGTCTCTATGTCTGTGTGTCATCACGGGTGTGTGTGCCTCTCAATGACTGCCTCTAAATGTGTTCCTGTCTGTATCTTTGTATGTCTCTAACGTATGTCTCTCAACGACTGTCTGTGCATACCTCTGGGGCTCAATGGCTGTGTGACTGCGTCCCCCGTATCGGTGTCTGCATTGAGGGCTGTTATCGCCACCGAAGTGCTGATTGATAAAAAAATGTGTGAATGCTCTCCAAATATCAGCAGGCAGAGTAACGGGCGCCCTTCCCATGCTTCTCCCGTGCCCGGCCACGCTCATTGTCTGTGGCGTGTGCTGTTTCCTCCTTTTTCATTTTCTCTCTCTCTCCCTGCAGCATAACAACCCCAGTGGAAGTGGCTTTTTATCGAGTGTGCAGGCCTGTGCAGCTGCACCGAGAGCCCGCGTGCCGGAGGGGCCAGAGGGTGCCAGGCTATGTCGAGACGGGGGAAATTGGACAAGGGATGGGCCCCATTTCACTCCTTGATCCAGGGTCCATGGCAACCATCTCATCCTATCCATTGCCATGAGTTCCCTGTATCGCATGGCCCAACATCTCTCCCATCTCTGGCGTTACCGCTATCTCTGCATAGTAATGATGATGATGACCAACATCTCTCCCATCTCTGGCGTTACCGCTATCTCTGCATAGTAATGATGATGATGATACTAATAATAAGAATTCACAGCTCTTTGTCAATTCACTGTTGGATGATGGCCTCTCCACGTCGCGTCTGTTTGACCATACATGACCACCGTGGTCATTGCGGGTTGGCGAAGTGGGGGGTGTGTGCCTGTCCAGATGTCAATACATATCAGCTGCGGCCGGGAATCGAACTCATAGTGCAGTGCAAACACCACTGCATCACCACTCCCCATGCCCATCTCTATATTCATCTCTTTACTACAATTTAAAGTGCTGTTAGCGAGCACCTAATAAAGGGGCTGCGTGGTCAACACCACTACTGGCTAAACTACCGCTCCCGACAACAAAGATCCCCTGTATAGCCTTAACAGACTGTTCGGGCAAGTGCTGTTAGCGCGCACCTACGAAGACCGGCACGGCACACGAGGGGGTGAGTGGCCAGCACCACGCACAGCCGCCTTTGGGGAGGCCGAGAACTAGTTCAGAAAATCAGATAATCGTCACCGGTGTTGTGCGTGAGCGGGAATCAATCTCGAGTTGCCGGGTTCGTAGCGCAGCACGCTAACCGCTACACTACCGCTCGCGGCAACACACACGTACTCGCACACATACGTACACATACACACAGACAAGGCTGGCATTGTGTGTCACTGCGGGTTTTGGTCACGCAATAATTACTTGTGATGGACGTTAACGGATGGCAACTTTGTGCTTCAGACAACTGTAACTTAGCTTCAAGCGAACGAAGCGGGGAGACAGAGAGAGGGGTGTTCGGTGATTCTGGTTGTGTGAGCCGCATTATAAGTGAACAACCCAGTAAACAAATCTAGTCTCAAGACTTTTTCGAAGAGGGTCGCGTATCAGGTTGTTACGGCCCATTCTATTTCAAGGAAAATTGTACAAAACACATAAATCAGGCTTTTTCGTGGTGGGTTTTGGGTAATAGAATATTATCCTGAGAAGCGTCTGTCTCACCAAGAACATTTTAAAAAGATGTGTGTCCATCACCCCGTGAGCCAATGGCGTGGCATGGTTAGAATGGGGCCCTAATACAAGGAATGAAACGGGGCCCGTACCCTGTCCATCTTCTCCCCTCGTCATAGATTCTGGTTGTGTGAGCCGCATTATAAGTGAACAACCCAGTAAACAAATCTAGTCTCAAGACTTTTTCGAAGAGGGTCGCGTATCAGGTTGTTACGGCCCATTCTATTTCAAGGAAAATTGTACAAAACACATAAATCAGGCTTTTTCGTGGTGGGTTTTGGGTAATAGAATATTATCCTGAGAAGCGTCTGTCTCACCAAGAACATTTTAAAAAGATGTGTGTCCATCACCCCGTGAGCCAATGGCGTGGCATGGTTAGAATGGGGCCCTAATACAAGGAATGAAACGGGGCCCGTACCCTGTCCATCTTCTCCCCTCGTCATAGCCCAGTGCCTGAGTCACTCCGGCCCATGGGCCTCTGTGCAGTTGCACCGCCTGTACACTCGCTGGCTAAGCTAATGCCATGGACTTTCCTATACCAGAGAATCAGAAAGCCTGTAGATGTATGGATCGAATTGTTCTCATCGATTTATCGTGGTGAGTTTTGTCTACTCATATTTATTCATCATATGCCATTAATATATGTTGAGTGTTTTGCACTTGGGATCGTGGCCCGGGGTATTTGGTGTCATTATTGTGGCAAACCGATCACCAGCGGCGCAGCGGGGCACGACGACCCCTTCACGGGCGATCGCCAATTATCGACAAATCAAGTGACAAAGTCCATGAAAATGGTCAACGTTGGCGTTGCTTTGCGGCTGAGGATCACGGCTGACATTTGTGCTCTGTGCCCGTGTGACGTCTGAGCTCCTTCTGGGCTGGAAAATGAAAACAAACATGCGGCCACGCAAATTAAAATCGTTGCAAGTAAAGTCAGCAGTCGATTTTTCGAGATATGTGTGGGGGAGCGGCCTGGATAAAGTAAATTCGGCTATAGAAAAGCCTGTTTCAGCAGCTTCCATGCTGTGA